AAGAAGTGTGCTGAGCATTTAATAACAATAATACAATGAACATTTTATCCAAACAAATTAAACAACTTTCTTAGAAAAAAGCATAAATTATTTTTTTTAAAAAAAACTAAACAACTCGTCATTAGCTTTTAAAATAAATGCTTCTAGAAAAAAAACAATAAATCTCTGGTTACTATTAGAGATATGCTACAACACGTGTTAAATCCGTAAATAATTCAGTGTACCCCAGCTTTCTTCCATTTCCATTTTCATGAAAAACCTTTTTCTCATCTCTTTACTTTTGGTCTGTGTCTTTTGATCTAAAGTGGATCTCTTGTAGGCAGCATGTGTATGGGTCTTATTTTTATCCACTCAGACACTTCATGTCTTTTGATTGGAACATTTAACCTATTTACATTTAAAGTGAGTATTGATATTTATTTGTTGCAATTCTATTATTTCTATTTTTCAATATTCTTTTACTTATTCCAGAGAGGGAAGAAGAGGAAAAGAGAATTAGAAACATAAATGATGAGAGAGAATCATTGATCAGCTGTCTACTACATACCCCACAGTGGGGATCAAGCCTGCAACCTGGGCATATGCCCAGACCAGGAATAAAACCATGACCTTCTGGTTCTTAGGTTGATGCTCAACCACAGAGCCACATTAGCCAGGCAATTTTTATTCTTATTTTTTATCTTTTTTTCTTTCTTCTTAGAGAAGACATTTGCCATTCATTATAATACTTGTTTGGTAGTGTTGAACTATATTTTCTTGTCTGAAAAACTATCTCTCCTTTGATTTTTAAAGATAGCCTTGCTAGCTAGAATAATCTTGTTTGAAAGTTCTTATTTTTTATTACTTTGAATATTTCTTTCCAATCCCTGTGGCCTACTAAGTTTCTGTTAAGTAATCAGCTGGGAGTCTTATGGGAACTCCATTCTAGTTAAGGATTTTTCTTTTGCTGCTTTTAAGATCTCCTGTTTGTCTTCAATCTTTGGCATTTTAGTTATAATGTGTTTTGGATTGGGCCTCTTTGGGTTCATCTTGTTTTGGACTCCGTGCTTCCTGGACTTGTATGTCTATTTCCTTTACCAGAATAGGAAATTTTCAGTTATTATTTCTTCAAATAGAGTTAGTTTCAAATCTTTGCTCTCTTTCTTCTCTTCCTGGTACTCTTGTGATGTGCTTGATGTTCCAGAGGCTCCTTACTCTATTCTCATATGCATATGATACACTTTTTGTAGTTGTCCAAACATCCTTGGGTATTTTATTATGTTTTTGTCAGAGCTTGTTGTCTTTGCTTTTCATATGCATAATGGTATCCTTAAACTCAGATATTTTTCCTCAGTCATGTTCAGCCCTCAAGTCCATATTCTTCATTTCTGTTATACATTTTTCAACTCTTGTATTTTTTAGTCCCCTCTTAAGATTTCCATCTCTCTGCTTACATTCTCCATTTTTTCCTGCATGCTGTCTTATTTCATTATTAGAACACCCTTAGCATATTAATCATGGTTGTTTTAAATTCCCAGCCTAATCATTTCAACATCCCTGCCATGTCTGGTTCTGATGCTTGCTCTGTTTCTTCAAGTTGTGTGTTTGTGTTTATTATTTGTTTGTTTATTTTGGTATGCCTGGTTGCTTTTTCCTGATAGCTTGACAAGATGTGGTAGGTTAGAGGGACTACTGTAAATAGGCCTTTAGTATTGTGGTGATAAAATGTTGGAGGAGGAGAAATGTTGTATAGTTCTGGGTTAGGTTTCAGTCCTTTAATGAGCTGATGCCTCTGCCTTGACTATAAATTTTACAAGTGTTTCTATTTTTTCTTTCCCCATAGTTGGACAAAATGGCTAGAGAGAACTGGGGTTGGCTATTTCCCTTCCCTAGGTTAGTTAAGGTCTGATAATACCCCAGCAGGTTCAGCTCGTTAACTAATTTCTCTTTGGGCAGATTTTCAAAATGAGCAGAGTGATCTGGCATATTTTAAAATGGTTCCTTTTCCTCTTCTCCTGCTGGAAGCATGAACATATTTTTCTCAAATTTATTGTGAGAACCACGTTGAGCTCCTGCAAATAAATCTCACAAAATTATGGGATTTCCTATGACTGACTCCCATGGGAGTTTACCTCTTAGAGCTGTTTACACTGAGCTTCTAGCAATTAGAGTTCAGGTTTTCTTAGCCCAACACTGATTCACTAGGTCATTCCTGCTGAAGTCTCTCTGTCCCTGTAAGTAAGTGGCTCATACTATTCACCTTTTTGTCTCTCCAATCTTGGGGGCAGTAGTATTCCCTGTGTCTTTACCTCTGATTGGGATCTTTGAAACAGTGTTGATTTCTCAGTCTGTTCAGCTCTCAAATTAACATGGAGTGGCAATGTCTAATCTCCTTGCATAAGAAACTGAATAGCAGTATTTTTATAGCCCAAAATGGAAACATGGCATTTTAGGCAGAGGCAACACAGGAGTAAACAGAGAAAGAAAGTCAAAATATATACTTTAGAAATATGAATACAAAAATTGAGTGTGGCATATAATTCCTGAATGAGAGAATTTTATATACAATTCAAGAGGCAGATTGAGACCGAGGGTTTGAGGGCTTAAAGTCAGGTTACCAATTTTTATTTTTCGGCTTTATCATTGAGAAGTCATTGTAATACTTTATCAGGGGAGGAAACAAGCTATAATTATAATATTTTATCTGGTCCTGATGTACATGTACAAGATGAATTAGAAGAGAAGGAATAGCCAGTTGCAAATCCTTGATGGTGGTCAAAGAATGGCATTATGATAAATCACTTCAGTAGAGCTGGACAAAGCAATGGGTGGATCAAAGTAAAAATATAGTGACTGAGATTAGATGTGAAATCCAATTGAAAAAAATTAGAAATATCAAGAAGAAAACTCCTTAGGCTAGATAATGAATATATATATATATATATATAATATATATATATATATATTCATTATCTAGCCTAAGGAGTTTTCTTCTTGATATTTCTAATATCAAGAAGATATATATATATATATCTAATATATATATATATATATATATATATATATTAGATATGATGAGCTTTATTGCACATAATTTGGTTTTGTCTGATTAGCAGGTCATCAGAAATGTTGTACTAGTTGTCAAGTAATGAGAGAAGGACTGAAGTAGAGCCATGATGGTTGAAGCCAGGGAATAAGAAATATGTGTGACAGAAAAAGTTCTGTCGGAAAACATATGGATAGAACCATTGGCAGAGTTAAAAGAACCAAACAGAAGAGAAGGAACCAGTATTCATGACAGTTGGAGAGAAATGATAATCATAGTGTTTTAAGATGTCAAGAAAGGAGTGTTTCAAAAAACACTGATGAATTGAGAGGAGGCCATTGGATTTGAATGCTGGTGCTTTTCTTGCAGAATGTTTAAGATGAGGACATTGCAAAAGCTATTTCACATGGGAATGATGATGCAGAGGGGCCTAAAACATTGTTTCTAAAGGACTGACTTCAAGATTTCTAACAATCTTGAAGTTTAATATTTCTAACATATTTTTGCTGCCTTTTTAAATGGTAACATTATAGATCTAAGAAGCACCAAACAAAATACAATTTTGGTTTTCTAATAATTAGCTCTGGAACATAATCTTCACAAAAAAGAATTTCACTATCTTATATGAGTCCATTTATGGTATAAAATCAATACGTTAGCCACTAAGTGGATCATTTTATTTTCTCAATATTTCTGAGAGTAGCTTCTAATTTAACTTTTTAATTTCCTACTGGGATCCTATAAGGAAATATAACTTTCTAAATCATTAAAAACCCAGTAGGCAATTAGTAGGATTGAGATAGATTGTTTTCCTCTGTGGTAACAGACAGAGTAAATAGAATGGTCTTGAGCGCCCTTATGACACATGAAGCACATCTACTTTCTCAAGAAAGGATGTTTGAAATGACACGGGCATGAATTCTCTCCTCCACCTTGGGGATATTTGACATCCTCTGCAAGTACTGAGCTTGGGAACTGATCCCTTAATCTGTGGGGTCTGATGATACTTCCAGGTAGATGTCAGAATTGACCCGACTCAGGAAACCAGGCTGGTGTCCCAGAGTTGCTTGGGAGTGTGGGGCACACCGACTTCCACCTCACACATGTTGGAGCTGGGTTCAGACCCTTTAGGTCATATAGTGGCAAATCACCTAAAAATAGCATTTTAACTTTAATAGCAGTGTTTTGTGATTTAATCCAAAACAGCAAAGTGGAACTTTAAGTTCCTTAAGCAGATACTAAGCACCAATGTGGACTGCCTCATTTGTACGTGGACTGCCTCATTTGTACGACTTTCACTATTTATACCACATTATAAGACTGCTCTTGTTCAATGAATGGGAAACATTACCGCCCAGCTGTCTCATTCAGCCTTGTGTTTTTCACAGTGTGAAAATGCAAGATTGGGAAAAAAAATGTATCTCAAACTTAAATGGATGCAAAACATCAATAGAATTATCAACATAAACACACGAGGAGTGTCAGAGATGAAAGTAACTAGTTTTGCCATCTCTTTTCAAACTTGACAGTGTGGTTTGAATATCTGAAAATACAGTATAAAGACTTGGATCCTCATGCATCTGTGTGTTCGTACCTTAAGCCAGTGTTTGAGGGATCCTGGCATGTATACCTGTGATGAGAGTTCACACATCTTTCCACTGGGTTGTTTTTTGGAGCTTTGAACCTGTTCGGGTCCATCCATCTTTCTCGGAATGTCAGATTGGTCCGCATGGGTAGGCAAATGGAAACTAATGACACTCATCAAGTCGATTAGGTGAGTGATTTATTGGACCAGGTCATGTAACACTTTCATCAAGTCAATATCAGGGAAAGAAACCCGGGCTCTTTTACGATGGTAAAACTGTATTCGTACTGTCAACATCCTGTGATGTATTACAAATCCTCCAGCCAGGATTAGGATATTATAAATGGGGGAGAACGGAAGGCTCATTTATTCACTGTTTTATGCCCGCAGGTGGAAGACATGCAGTGGGCTGGCAGGGAGCACACGCACCCCGCCTCTGTGTGCAGCCTGCCCTGCCAGCCCGGGGAGAGGAAGAAGACGGTGAAGGGGGTCCCCTGCTGCTGGCACTGCGAGCGCTGCGAGGGCTACAACTACCAGGTGGACGAGCTCTCCTGCGAGCTCTGCCCCTTAGACCAGAGGCCCAACGCCAACCACACGGCCTGCCAGCTCATCCCCATCATCAAGCTCGAGTGGCACTCGCCCTGGGCGGTGGTGCCCGTGTTCGTGGCCATCCTGGGGATCGTGGCCACCACGTTCGTGATCGTGACCTTTGTCCGCTACAACGACACCCCAATCGTGAGGGCTTCGGGGCGCGAGCTGAGCTACGTGCTCCTCACCGGGATCTTCCTCTGCTACTCCATCACCTTCCTGATGATCGCGGCGCCCGACACCGTTATCTGCTCCCTGCGGCGGCTCTTCCTCGGGCTGGGCATGTGCTTCAGCTACGCGGCCCTGCTGACCAAGACCAACCGCATCCACCGGATATTCGAGCAGGGCAAGAAGTCCGTCACGGCGCCCAAGTTCATCAGCCCGGCGTCCCAGCTGGTGATCACCTTCAGCCTCATCTCCCTGCAGCTCCTGGGCGTGTGCGTGTGGTTCGTGGTGGACCCCCCGCACATCATCATCGACTACGGCGAGCAGCGGACGCTGGACCCTGAGAACGCCAGGGGCGTGCTCAAGTGCGACATCTCCGACCTCTCGCTCATCTGCTCCCTGGGCTACAGCATCCTCCTGATGGTCACCTGCACTGTGTACGCCATCAAGACCAGAGGCGTCCCGGAGACGTTCAACGAGGCCAAGCCGATCGGATTTACCATGTATACGACCTGCATCATCTGGCTAGCCTTCATCCCCATCTTTTTTGGGACAGCTCAGTCGGCAGAAAAGGTAAGTGCAAGACATGTATGTGTTGATATTTCCCCCCTGGGTTTAACGTTCTCTTCAAGGCCCTCTCCTGCCTTTCCTTTGGTTCATTTATAGACTACCTTAAAATGATTCGGTCTGTGGTGTTCTTATTTAGAAGCGCGCTCACACACACACACACACACATACACACACACACACACACACACACACACACACAAATTCACGCACAATTCCCTCAAGGCCTAGAGTGGGGTGGGAATCTAGATCAATGTGGCCTGCAACCATGTTTGGATAAAAATGTACTTCAGCACACCTGTTGTGGAATAAAGCCAACTTTTGTGGCTTCCAGAACTGTCACCTTTCTTGACTTGCATGGCAAATAGAGGCCCATGACTATTTCATGTGGGACTGAGCATATAGCAAGGAAGAAAGTAGGATGGTTTGGGGCTCTAAACCTAACAAGTGGAAAGAATTATACTTTGGCATATGCAGATGGGACTGTATTAGGATTAAAGTTGTAAATTTAACTTAGGAAAGAATGTATGAATCGGAAAATAAGTTTTTCAAAGTCTAGTGGGTCTGTTTTGATATGGTTAATAACTATATTAACTAGTCAGTGTAAAACAATGCTTTTGCAGATTCTGGAAATGTATATTATGTGAATTAATAATAATAATAATAATAATAAGAAGAAGAAGAAGAAGAAGAAGAATTTAAGTGCTATTTATACTTGAACCTATGAATGCCATTTTAACATATACTGTTTTATCTCAAGAGGGCCCTAAGTAGTTTACTTTGGTTGAACAAATCTTCTGAGTTCTGACATCTAACCTTCCTTTCCTTTTTTATCTCTTTCTTTACATTTTATAAATTACAGCCCACTCTGATTTTTCATTTTGTGACTTCCAAGGTTGTGGGAAGTGCAAATACAATGCCAAAAAGACGTTATTTTTTTTTTTTAGCTCAATCCTTCAGTGCCTAGATTTTTAGATGAAATAAAATCATGGTCCTATATCAAGCTATTGGATATCATCTTTGTAGTTAAAACATGCATTTTGCTAATAAGTTTTCTTAAGATAATTGAAAAAAATTAACCATAGTCTCTTAGAATAGTGACTCTGCAGATTTGCAGTTGCCCCTTAGGAGCAGTAATAGAAACAGAAGAGTTTCAGGTGAAATGGACACGTGAACATGCTAGGGGTGGAGGCTGCCCAGTGCTGCTGAGGATGCAGGAGAGGCACATCCAATGTGAACCTGAGTGCAGTGTGTACTAGTACATTTATGGTGCAGATAAATCCGTGTCTGAATGTGGCTAGACAAAATTCCCTTTTATTTATGAGCTTTTTGGAATCAAAATAAGTCAACAAAGCACATGGTAAGACAAAGGATAAAATAATGTAATTGGCAATTATTTTGCATTATGCCAATGAATATGGCAAAGACTAAAGAAATCAATAAGAAACACCAATTTTAGGAATTTTTGGAACAGGATAGTCCTCAAATTATTTATTTGGTCTTACAGTCGTTGAATTTCTAACAACTCTACATCAAGAGCTATTATATAATAAGTAGCAAAGAATTTGCTGCTGAAGTATATTATATAATGCACTTCTGTGTCATCCAAACACTTCACATTGAAATTGGCTAGCTGCTATTCTCTGCTGAAGTCTCTATTATTCAAAATAATACACAAAATGTTTGAGAATGGTTATTTTTCACATTGCTAAAATTATTGACACATATTAAAAGCAAATAAAACGTTTTTGTCTCTAAAAAGAAAAGGCTTGAAATAAGTTTTATTTGCTTTGGAGGACCAAAGAGCTGGTCATTCCTCCATTCTCATTTATAATGCTTAGCCAATGAGCCCCACCATTATCAACTGGAATTGTTTGTAACAAAATAGGCGGCCCACACACCCGTTAATTCAGCAGGTGCTTATTGAGCATTGTGTCCAGCATTGTTCTAATTATTGATCTCATGTCAGTCTGCTTTCCTGAAAGGCTCTGTCTGACTCTCAGCCGAAGCTGAATGATGTCTTCCAGCACCAGGAAGGTGCCAGGTTCAAGGGCAAGAGAAGATGGTGAGGGGTCAGATCTGAGATGTAAAAGCAAAGATGAGAGCTATGCATCCTATAGTTCTATAATAGTATGTAATTAATTACACTTCTTAGAGTAATGTCTATAGAAGAAAACTTATCTAGCCACATAGGTCTCTCTGAAATTACAAGAGAAGCAGGAATAAAAAGTAAATTAGTTGAATAATTTTGACAGATGTTTCAGAAAAATCTCTGAGTAAAATCAAGTTAAAAGGGGATCTTAGTAGCATTCACAAAGGCGGACAGCTCTCTCTGTCTTCATTCAATGATGAAACTCCTTTTAATTTCTGCACATTCCTTTTTGCCCCCAGAATTTGAAATCAAGACAAATTACTATGTTTATTCCAATAGAGCTTATGCCATGATTTATTAACTTCTTGCCTACTATTGCATTTTACTAGGCAATAATAATAAATGCACTTTTTCTTTTCTTATAGAAAAATGATGTGAAGAAAGGGTGGACATTCTGAGTCATGAACATGGACTAACACAAACTCTCATAATTTCACTAAAAAGACAAAATATGCAAATATAATTAATGTAATAGTCAGGAAAAGAATCCCAGGGATGGTTAGGGGCTATTAGGATAGAAAATATCTCTAAAATACATATTTCACCATCTCTAATTGGTCTCATAAACTAAGCTTTCAGACACGGGTTATGACACTGCCAAGCTCCAATGAGCACATTGTGTTAAACCTAGTGTCAAATAGAAACAAAATAAGACACTGTCGTAGTGAAAAAGAAAAGAAAAATCAACAATGTCAAAATACCTGAATGTTCCCAACCAGCCTCTCCCCCTTCACCCTCTGATGGGTTATGCAGCAGCTAGCTAGCTGCCCAAGTCGGAATCCTGGGTGTCACCTGCAACTCCTCCCCCTTATTCACTCCCACTGCTTTATCTCCTCCTCTCATCTTTACATCTAATCTTTTATAAAAATTTGTAGAGGGTAAGCAGTATCTGTCTGATATATTTCGGAATGAATATGTCTTTTAATATTCATTAGAACCTTTTATGTCAGTACATTCTGAATATACAGATGCCTATTCAATGAGCGAGTGGAGTGTCTTACACAATAACCATATAATAATATAAATGCTTATTTATTATTTTAATTAGACTGTGGCCTTATGGGAATGTTTTATATATATCTTATTGTGATTTGCATTACAATATATTTTTTCTGAAAAATAAGCTTTCTCATTTAAATGATGGACCATATAAACTTATTTTTAAAATTTTGTCAATCATTTATTCTGAATAGGACTGCTAAATATTTAGGGAGAAATATAAAAAGGAATTATTAGAGTTGCCCTTAATTCTATCTAAAGATACACAAAGCAAAGGAGAATTAATGTGATTATCCAGATATGTTTACCACATCATCCCTCTCTTGTTCTTTTACTGCATGTGACTACCAGAGACCAGAAGAGTGTGGGGAAACAGGTGGATGAGTGGGCTTAGGAGGAGCATGAGCTCTGGAGTGGGGAGGCTTGGGGTCAAATCCTGGCTCTGTGTGGAGCAATCACCCCACCTGCATTCAGCCCTATTCTCAAAACAGAGCAAACCTGAGTTCATATAGTATAGTATATAACAAACCGACAAACGAAACCCTCCTCCTCTTGTCTCAGTATGGTGTATTCACATAATAGATCTCATAGTAGTTTACATGATATGAGTTATGAGACTGTTTAGCACATAATAAGCAGTTAATAAATGTTGGCTATTATTCCTATTAGACTACATTTCATGAGGACAGAGTCCTTATTTAGTTAGCTCCCCATTTTATCTTGGGCACCTTGCAGAAAGTCGGGCCAGAATAGTTTCTCCAAGACACAAGTGTTTAAGGATTAAATATAGTCACATTCATTCACATAATTGCCTCAGTTTCTCCAGTCATTTAGACCATATTTGTGCGGCACCCCAAGTGAAAGTGCTTTTGCAAACAGATGGGCTCTCCTGAGGCTGTAAAGTAGATAGGTTATAGCAGTCAGAGAAAAAGAATCTGTAAGAGGAGGAAGAGGGGAAGGAGGACAGAGAGTTCTTCTCGAGGCAATGTGTAAAGTATTTTCTCTCTTTAGCAGAAAATACTGGAAGAAGCAACATGTTATAAGAAAGCATCTACTAAAATATTTAAGTTAAAATCTAGTAACTCTAGCAAAAGTTGTAAGAGTTGAAAAGAATAAATAAAACTCCTACTTTAAGAAATAGCCCAGATAAGAAAAGAACAGCCTGAGAAACCTGGGGTAAGGATATCAACATGACCTAGACAACAATGGAAGTGATTTTCAGACTAGATCAGATTAGTGGTAGTTTCCAGCCCCACCTGCCTCCTAACAGTTAATTCCTTAGGATGTTGGGAGGTAGAAATGATTATCAGTATCCATCTTGCATGTTTGCAGTTGTAAACTGTATAGTGTTTCCTTTCCTTGGCAGCTGGCAGTTATATGAAGCTGGTCTTCTTGAAGGGTCCATGATGCCCCACTGTAGTTACAGAACTATCTTACATATCACGGTAGGCTTTGTCTGGGCAAGATCTATAATACTGGACTATTGCAATCAATTCTTGAAGGGGAAAAAACAAATTTAAAATAAGAAAAAGAAAAAACAACTGGAAAAGAAAAACATCTCATTTTTGCACTCAGTTAAAATGCTATGCTTATGGCTCTAACCGGTTTAGTTCAATAGACAGAGTGTCGGCCTGCGGACTGAAGGGTCCCAGGTTTGATTATGGTCAAAGGCAAGTACCTTGGTTATGGGCACATCCCCAGTAGGGGGTATGCAGGAGGCAGCTGATTAATGTTTCTCACTCTCTATCCCCCTCCCTTCCTCTCTGTAAAAAATCAATTATATATATGATATGCTTGTGAAGATATGGAAGCAAAGGATACCTGGGACCTAGTGCACACAAGCCTGTTAAGCAAC